TTTATCATTTTTTTTTTTTTTTTTTTTTTGGCCGTGCAACTCCTGGCCTGTGGGAGAGAAGTGTCATCCATTATCCTTATCCTTCTAGTAATCTATTTGCAAGTAAATAAGAATTTCAGAAACGAGCAGTCGAAGCACTACATGTATCTTTCTCTTTTCCGCATCCTCTAGCTCTTTGGATTCCTAAACCTGATATTGTGGGCAGGAAACTGCTGGTTCATCTACAAGGAGACTCCGTTTCATAAGCCGGCCAATCCACCGCCCAATCCACCGCCCAGCGTAGAGGGAGGAGTTTCCACCTCCTAATTAGACAAGACGGGCTCCTTCCTCTCCTCTCCATTCGTTCATAAAGCAGAGGACATCACCGCTTGTGAAACAAACTACACTTTGATATGCAAAAGCTTTGTTTCTAGCGTCATGCATCGCAGTTCATTACATTAGACATGCTCTAAGCTGAATTCATCATTTCTTTATGGATTTTTTTTTTATTTTAGTGTCTATTTAATGGCACTGTCAGAAGCTAATTTGGTCACGCAGGTAAAAAAAAGAAACCAAATTATTTATTAAATCAGTAGCATTTCAGTTACAACTTACACTAAACTTGTTCTAGGTTATTGATGTTTTTCATTTGAATTAATTTGTCTAATTTGATATAAAGATGACCTGCATTTCAGTAACTGTAAATGTCCACTACAATCAGACCTCATGAGAATGTCAAATGTCTCTGAGCACTTCAAATACTAGCACACTAATATCTAGCTCCAGACATTTAAAGCTTGTCTTTGCTTGTAGTTTTTAAATAACTATTTATTGGTTTAAGTGCCTTTCCATTTACGTTCATGATAGAATGTTTTTCCACAGCCACATCTGAGTCACCTTACATTTGTCAGGGAAGGACAAACTAAAAAAATTCATCTTAGTTTCAGCCATAAAGCATCTGATATTTCGTCTGTAACCTTTATTTTAAATGTTTGTGTGAATTCTCTGAGTTGACTCTTTTTGAAGTGGTATTTGGTAATAAATTACAACGCCAAAGGCCATATTTAATTTTCTATCAGGACAAATGTTAACTATTCAACACTAGTCATTGTTTAACAGAAAGGAAACACTTGTTTGATAGTTTTTCTACTGTTTGGAGTAGTAATGTTGTCATTATTTGTATTTGGCTGTTATTTGACTTGACACTGTAAATGAAGCGTCTGTATCACATGGGTTGATGTTTATATTTACAGAAAGAACATTTAATTTTGTGCATCTGTGGCATGTTTTACCATCTTATTTTTTACAGAAAGAAATGTTTTGTGGAGGATTGCATTGTTGAATTCTAAAAAAACAAAATTTGAATAATTGTTCAGCAACAGTGATTGTCTGTGGGCATTTTATGTTCTGTTAAAAATTGATTATTTGTTTAATTCTAAATTGGCAATTTTGTTTTTTATTATATCCTCAAGTAGTCGTTTTAATCGTAAGATGAAACTTTCAAAGGAATATTCAGTGCCACATCTAAACTTTTTAATCTACATAGCTATAAAAGGTAGGTAAAGGTAAACACATTAAATTATTAATATAAATTGTTAAAGGAAAGTAGTTTGGGTCTAATTGTGATTAAAGAGGAAAAAAGCTAAAAGTGACATTTAAAAATCTTTCCTCGGGTCACATTGATTAATTTTTTTGTCCTGGAGCAATCCTCGATTTTGGTTGTGACTTTTGGAAAATATAGGCCACATTTGTGTGTGTGTGTGTGTTTTATATCTCTATGCTACGTTCAGAAGGAAAAACTCCATAAAAGGCTGTTTGCAGTTTTGATTAGTATTAAAGAGGAGAGCTGTATATATATTGGTTCGTGTTTTATTTCAAAAGGCTGCTGTTTACTACATAACCACTAGATGGTAGTATTGTAAACAAAATAAATACATCTAAATCACTGGTGTCGATCATACATGTTTCTTCTGGGTCGAAGATAGTGAAAAAAAAATAGGCAAACCAACACACGTGAATAATAAATAACATGCATTGCTTATGATTTAAAGCCTTGAATAAGGTACTAATCCAACAACACCAAGGAAAGGAAATCGAATCAGATGTTTTTATCTGTATTACATAAAGAAAATGAAGCCTAGAACCATTAAGATTTTTTTGTTTTGCATGTGCTTAATTGTCATATTTTTTAATATATTAAGAATGTGAAATATTTCTATTAAAATTCAGTTTAAGGTACTCAATTTGCATTACAAATCTGTAAAGGGTTTGAAGATTCGTCCAATAAAATAATGTCAAATAAAATATCAATAATGCAAATAAAATTAAAAAGTGCGCGCGCAAGCAGGTTCCCCCTCCGCCCACGGGAGCGCGCAACGTGACGTCAGCGCCTTGCCGCGCGGTGATGATGGCGGTGCGTGAACGCGCAGTTAAAGTAATGGCTGCTCCGGAACGGCGGGTGCCTTGTCTCGATGATTTCGTGGGCCAAAGCTGGAGCGCCTGGACGGAAAGAGCCAACCTGACAGCATCGGAGGGTGAGTGAGCACTTCGTCGCCGGTATTTCTCCATCCACCACCAAAAAGTCTCACGGATGCGCTTTATTTTTCGTGGAAAAGGCACGGCATCCCGAACCGTGTTACCCAAACAAAGAACCTGCCGGGTCCTAGTGCCGGCTGGGTCACGCGCTTGCGCTCTCTCTCTCTCTGTCTCTCTCTCTCTCTGATCAGTGTCGTCATAATAGAACGTGTTCCGCGTTCGTTTGTCTGGAACTTCAAAAGAAACAAACGCACTCAGTTTAAAAGCACGAATCTCCTCTTGTCGGCGGGCACATCAAAGCAGTTAATAGTGTAGGGATCATTTGCAGGTAGTTATATTTTGGCCCCACCCACAGAAGAGCTTGTGCCAGCTTCACAGATGACCAGTTCATGGCACAGATTGCATTTCACACTGAAAATCTTGGGGAATAAAACCTGACCAGTTGACTAGATCTCATATTATGACGCTCATTAAACACCACTGTATGCATTTTATTTATTTATTTATTTAGTCATTTAGCAGACGCTTTTATCCAAAGCGACTTACAAATGAGGACAATAAAAGCAGTCAAAACTAACAAAAGAGCAACAATATATAAGTGCAAATGACAAGTCTCGGTTAGCCTAACGCAGTACACGTAGCAAGGTGTGTATATATA